CTAGGACCTCGACTATAGCAATTCTGTGTCACCCTAATTTTTCTCGAACCATTGCTAGAATACAGTGACCATACGCCATGTAAACCCACAGTATCTCTGGGAAATTTAAAATCATAATTCAAGTCACGACAGTTCAAATATCGAAAAACACTAAAGCAAACATTTAATCATAACAATATGCAAACAAAATCCATCACTCAAAAACCTCCGAAAACTAAAATTGGAAAAGGTCAACAGAATCCACAGTAATATGGCAGAACACATCATCGTCTAGTACACAAACCAAACTCCAGTAACATTATCAACCAGTTATGCACTGGATACATCGGCGAAGCTAAACATGGACGCATCAAAGCTAATTCGCACAGCTCCAAGAATTCTGACCTATGGCAGATCACTGCAAAAATTACAGCATGTAATCAGAATCCTCCAACACAATGACATTAATAAAAAAAAAATTTGAAGAAGAAGAAACAAAGTAAATCCATTCACTAGCGAACCACAAGTTCAATCCACAAAAAAGCTACCAATATCAAATTTGCAGGATAACGGGCCACCTTGTATCTGATTTGCAGATGAGAAATTAGCATACCGACTCAATTTCATCCTTCCCATACATAGTTCAAGGGAAACATTTTTTAGGAGGTGTTGCAACAACCAGGGGGAAGTTCGTACTTTATAACTCGAATATTTTTTGACTTAAAAAAGAATAGAAAAGAATAAATAGGCAGAATGATACAAAAATAACTCTGATCTATTTTGAGTTTATCCATAAATGAGATCTTATGAAAAACGTAACCGATTCTTTCGTTTCTTTGTGCCACTGGCCATCTGCGGGGAGTTTTGGATCCATTGCAAAATTAAAAAATATTCTCATATACACCCATCTTTTAAGAAAAGAATTTCTACTTTCTCACAATTTACCATTGGGAGTAACCACCATCATTTGGATTACCCACTATTTCACAAAAATAGATATTTAGATATATCCATGCCATACAAATCAAGTGCATGTAACATAACCCTTCACACTGCGTAAATAACAGAGTAAAATTGTGATGGATCAATACCTGCTGTGGCTGTTGATAATTTGCATATCCTGTGCCTCCATAGTACATGTTCGGATCTTGAGGTGGAGCATAGCTACCATATGCTTCATACCCCCCCTGCGAGTAACCATAATATGAACTACCACCCAATTGGGTCTGATCCGACTGACACAAAAATTAAACTGTAATCAGAATGCAAGTTGTACAAGCGGGATACTAGAACTAGAAAGTATAGTTATGACAACAACCTGTCTGTTTGAAGGACTACGTCCCCATGAAAGGCGAATACTTTGCCCACCTAATTGGGTACCATTCAAGCTTGATAGAGCTTGTTCAGCAGATGGCCTGGAGAACAATACGGAAAAGAGTAATACATAATTAAACCGCAAAGCTTGCAAGACCGTATTACACCATATCCATGCATGCTTACCTATTAGCAAACTGAACAAACCCACAACGCTTTCCCATTGGTATTTTTACATGGACTAGTTCACCATATGGGGAAAAGACTTGCTTCAAAAGGTCGTCCGTAACATTGGGGTCTAGACCACCAACAAATATCTGCACTTATGACTTGAAATGAAGGTCACTACTATAAAAGTTAAGAGAATATATAATACATACATAGAAAAAACTACGCACTGTGGTATTATTTGGATCGCTATCGCCCTGATTTCCTTGAGTATTCTGGAAGGAAGCTGCAAATGATATATGAATGTGAAGAAGGCCGGAATAAACATTAAACGAGATCTTTAAGGAATCACTATGGAAACCCAGGTCAAGATGGAATCCTAAGAGTAATGTGAAAGCACCAATTGCCGAAAACAAGAATATGGACGTATCTGATTACCTTAGCTTGGGGCATCACATTTCATGGGAATACATCAGTGCCCCCACACCCACCCACAAAGAAACAAACTATGTTTCACCAAGCATAAGGTAGTTTAGCCTACCTCAGAAAAGGGACATGGTCCAACAACCTCCTGTTGCGTGTGTAATAAAGATGAAAATTTTATAATTACATTCTTTCACCCAAGAAAGAAAAACGATCACTTTACCTTCTTCATGTGTACAGGACAGTGTTTACAATCACAACAGAGCAAGTACATCAAAGAATTAATTGCAAAGGTGATGGCCTAGAATATGAATGAATAATAACATGAAGGAGCTACCATTGCAGAATTGAATTGTATTGCAAATCGACATCAATAACCATGGTCAAATATTCTATAATATTGCAAGCGCGCAGCCATGCACCTTAAGTTTAATTTTCTAAGCATTACATGTACAAGTGTCTATGTGTAGAAAGCATCTAATTAGGTTCTCCAAAAAATACACACCTATAGCTTCAGATTTTTTTTACCTTAGAATATTGGATTCAACATACAAAAACGGCACCATTGCCTGAAATTATGCTCCTTGTTACGGTTTACATTACAAGATATGAGACTTGAATCTCACATCGAAAGTTTAGGCTTTCGATGTGTGGTTTATATAGATTTTGGCTCCCCAACTTCAA